TATAATTCTGCTGTTTTAAGTGATTTGTACCTTTAATAACATTGAGTTGAATTTTTTGTGAAATTATGTGTGTGTGTGTGTGTGTGTGTGTGTATATATATATATACTTATCTTGTAATGTAGGCCTGGAAGCTATTTGAAACCTCAGTTTTTTGCAAAAACTTTCGCTGCTTAATGGACACTATAAGAAATAAATTGCATTGCAATGTATGGAGTTTTGGTACACATCCAAACAGCTAAATATATTTTGACTCACAATTTCTATAATATATTGTGCTATATATTTTGATTTTATAATTTGAAAATTAGTTGCTTACAGATGTTTACATTTCTAAAAGAACTTCCTGTATGTTTTCTCATGTTGCATCAAAATCGACCAATTTCTACTATAAGATTTTTCTCAGTGTTCAGTAACATTAGCAAAGAAATTTCTTGGAATTGTCTATGCTTGATAACAATAAAGAGCAAATTCAGATAGACAATTTCAACAAAATACTTTGACACAATTTTTAACTGTATATTATAAAAGTCTCTGGTAATCAGAAAAAACCAATTAATTTAAACTATGTCTTTCTTATGTGACTTTTAAAGTGTTTATTTGGAAATTTTCACATTAGGAAATGTGCCAGTGAGATTTCCTGAGAAGGTACACTTGGGAAGCCTGCAACATTCACCCCAAACTTTCTTCAGAGTCAAAAATAAGAGACAGAGATCATTCAGTTCATTTGGACACATTCAAGTGTCCCAAACAGGTCACATTGATGACTCTCTATTCCTTCTCCTGATCCTGAATCCTGACATTGAGAATTAATCCTTGCACACTTATTAATAGCAGATTTTTTGTGCTAACTGTGAATGAAGACAGTGTGTCAAATGGAGACCACCAGTGGCCATATCCACAAAGCCACTTATCTGTCGTAGTGGCCATTGCAATATAATTGAGATTTCTGCTAAATTCACAGAAGAAAGACACATAAGAGATAATGCAATTGACACTAAATTTCCATAACATTTCCTGTCACCTGCATCAAGATGATAGGGCTGTAGTTCTTCCATCATCCTTCTGGCCCATGTGGACCTTGTAGATGGTCCACATTTACTTCAGTAACTGTGACCTTGCTAACTGTGACTCACTCAGTCAGAACTTCTGGTAAATGACTCAAGATGGCTCAGTGAGCTCTTCTGCCAGCTCCCTCAGGGCCCTCAGGTGCATCCTGTCTGGCCTCATGAACCTGTGTCTATCTAAGTGGTATAGCAGGTCACTGACCATTTCCCTTGGATTGTGAGCTTTTCATTCTGCTCTGTCTCCCAAGTCAGGTGGCTGGGTACCCAAGGAACAAATAATACTACTCTTAAAGACTGAGGTAAAGAAGGCATTAAGTACTTCAGACCTTTCCTCATCCTTTGTCACTGTATTTTCTCCCACATCCAATACAAACAGGGATTCTCCTTACCCCTCTTTTTGTTGTTGATGTGTTTATAGAAACATTTTTAATTGTCTTTTACAGCAGTGGCTAGATTAAGCTCTTATTAGGTTTTGGGCCTTCTAATTTTCTCCCTGCATAACCTCACAACACTGTTGCTGTCCTCTTGAGTTGCCTGACTCTTCTTCCACTGTGTTTTTTTCCCCCTCTGTTCCAGCCAAAGCTGGCACTTCAGCCAGGCCAGGCTAGTGTTCCTCACTGGCTCATCTTTTCACACATGAAGATGTCTTGATCCTGCTATTTTAGCATTTCCTTCATGGTTCAGCATTTGTGGACTCCTTTCGCCTTCAGGACTGCCTCCCAAGGGAGTCTCTTAACCAATCTCCTAAACAGGCCAAAGTCTAGCCTCTGAAAGTCCAAGTCTTGCTGACCCCTCCACTCACTTCCCCAAGACTAAAAACTTTATTTTTTCTTGATTGCTGTGCCCAAGGTGGCCTCCAAATGTCACATCTGTACAAGTGCTTGTCTGTTCACAAACAGCAGATCCACTGGTCACCTTCCCTACCTGTTTTGCTCACCAGCTCTGTCAGGAAGTTAGTTAGCTGTCACACTTTTCACGGATCTTCTGCACTGTTTCCTCTAGGCTGTTGTATTTCCAGACAACCCCTGGTAAGTTGAAGTCCCCCTCCATAACAAGGGCCAGCGATCGCAAGGCTTCTCTTGGCTGCTTATAGAATATTTCAGTTGTCTCTTCATCCTCGCTGGGTGGTCTATAACAAAGTCCAGCTAGGAAAACTGCCTTGCTGGCCTTCCTCCTGATTCTTACCCATAAACATTCAACCTTAGCATCCCCTTAAGCTCTAGACAATCAAAACACTCCCTAAAATACAGAGCTACCCCACTGTCTCTTTTTCCCAGCCCATCCCTTCTGGAATAATGCTTATGTGAATCTTTCTAATTACTGAGATTATGAGATTTTAGTCATCAGTAGTTGAATGACTTGGGTTTGGACTTAATTTTTATCACTTCCATATGGAGTGGTGATACTGTTTTCCTAATGGCTGGTAAAAACTGTGAAATGACAAGGGGAAGAATGCTAGAGAGCATCTGCATGAAACAAAGGTGGTATGGTACATTTGGCAGAGATGCTCTGCAAAGAGAATTCCACACATTGGAGGGCTGGACAGTCACTGAATGAAGTTTAACAAAGACAAGTCTTGGATTCTGCACCTGGGATGGGGCAACTCTGCATGTATGGACAAAGTGGGGAATGAGATGGTGAAAAGCAATGCCACAGAAAGGGGCCTGAGTGCTCGGATCGATGGCAAGTTGAACGTGAGTCAGCAGTGCCCTGGCAGCCAGGAGGGCCACCTGTGTCCTGGGGGGCATCAGGAACAGCAACACCAGCCAGGGAAGGGAGGGGATTGTTCAGCAGTCATGAGTAAGGGAATTGCCTTCACCAACAGTGTAATTAAATTCAGCTGAAATATCTACCTGTGGTTTTAAGTTGAATTTACTCATGCTCTTTTGAACCATCACACAATTTTGAACCAAAGTTCAAAAGAGGTGTGCTGGTATTATTTTTTCCTTGCCAGCTAAATTGGCCAGTCATGAACTTTTCTCTTGGATTTGGACATTGTCATTTAAATTCACAGCTTTATGAATGGACTTTAGAAATTGAACTATCTTTCAAGGAAAAATTTGAATTTCTGTCTGAAAATGAGCACTAATCAATTAAGTATCTCATGTTTGTGTCAAGATGTGGTTTACAAGCCTGTTTTTTTCATTAATGGCATTGATAATCTACTAGATTGAAGATTGCAACCAGCATCATGCAAATTATTATGTACACAGCTGTGTGAACTATGTAAAGAATGACTGATATGTATTTTTCATTTGTTAAATTATATTAGATTATATTATTTTCAGTGCTTACGATTTCCTAGCATTTCACAAAAACAGTAACCTAAATCATATAACAGCCTTGCCAAAGTCCTCTGGAACCTGGAGGTGTAGCAGTGTAGGAGTCACATTGACTCTCAATTTATGTCATTCTATTTTCTTATCATTTGGATAAACCAAATTCATTTACATGAATGTAGGAAGTAATTAAATAAGATGAGAGCTAATATGAGTTCACTCTTGTAATGTAGTTATCCTATCACTGGAACAAAGAAAACACAAAGGTAAAACTGTGGTGAATTCTGTAATACTTGTCAGTTTACCCCTTGAATGAAACAAAGGTACATAATGTGAGAATGCTCTTAGCATTCAAATCCTGCATATTAAACATAGTAATACTCATCTGAATTCCAAACATTCTTTAAAAAAGTATTTTCATTGGGAGATCAAACATATAAGCAGATTTTCAAAACTGACTTGCTGTTCTGATTTCTAATGGTGTTCAAGAATTTTCACTTTTCAAGTAATAAAGCTCTAGTTTAAAAATGAGTATGTTACTTATGTATGTTCCATAAGAATTCTGACTGCTTCATTTCATAGTATGTAATAGAACTGAGAGAATTTAACTCAAACTAGATTCTCAGATGATCTAATAAAGTTATTAGTCAATTTAACAAAATTATTATTTAAAAATAAAGGTAATTTAAAATTTCAGTTTTAACATAAAATACAGGGAGCACTGCTATGAAACAGCTTCAAATTGAGCAAGTAATTGGGAAAATTGTCTCCATTCAAAGTAACTTGTGATGAAGCTCACAGTCTCTGCAAAAAGAGAAATTACAAGAGTCTGAAAAAAGCTGGTTCCCAGCAGACATATGGTTTGTGTCTTGATGACCTGCCTGGAAAATTCAAGGTTGTTTCAAGATCCACAACTGATGGGCAAATCTGTAACAACACATTTCTTGTCTATGAAAAGCAATTTTCTTAAATAACTCCTAATTTCCTTTCATGCTTTACTGTCTCAAGTCAGTGGTTGTATGCACATTATTTTTTCACCAAATTTTTAATCCTGTTTAGGTTTTTGGTGTTCTTCTTTTGTTTACTTTTGGATTTATTTTCTGTTATCTTGGCCATGTGGCCAAACTCAGTTTCTTAATCTTTGAATGGATTCCAAAAAACCCCCAACTACAATATATAACTAGATCCCTGAATATATTACTAGACCAGCCCTGTATGAAGTACAAATTCAGAGTTTAGAGTTGTGGTTAAAAAATCATACTAGGGAGTATGCTCAAAATCAGCATGGTAAAGTTGACTTACAACCTAATGCATATTTGATGTGCAGACATGGCAACATTGGATTTAGAAAATACAGTTTGGAAGCAACTGAAAAACAGACACTGTGGCTCATATCTTGCCATCACTGTAGATCTGAAGCCCACAAAAATGGCACCTGTAGAAAAATGACAGTGAATTTACTTTCAATTTTAGTTAATATTGGGTAATAGGAAACCTTTCTTTTAGATATAGGTACATGTACTCTTTCTAAAGAAAACCAGACTCATATCCAAAGATATTTGCTCCTTGAATGTATGTGGTTTTTAAAAAATCTTTAAAGTCTTTTACTTATTTTATTTTTTTTTCTTATTCTTCTTTCCTTCCCTACCTCTCAAGCTATCTAGCAGCATTTTGGATATATATAACAGTGACCAGGGAATGGCACCAGCTAATATGGGTCTCACAAATGCTTCTTGTCCAGCTAATCTACCAGTAAAAAGGGAACTTACAGGTAAAAGAACTCTGAGATCTTAGTATATAACTGCATAAGTGATGGTGTGTGTCTTAAAAGTTGAATTTCTCCATTAAAAAGATATCCATAATTAAATTTCTGAAAATTTTCAGTTTGTTATTTCATTTAATGAAAAGAAGATCAAGGAGAAATGTTTTATTTCTGTTCCTCTCTTTAGGAATTCAGAAACCATGTTTGCCTTCTGTTTTTATGATCTTTGTCCTTCTAAAAAAACCTTGATATTTTAGAAAACAGTATATTCTTCCACATGTTGGCTTCTGACTAACGATATAAATAAATTATCATCCATTAAATTTGTTCCAGGGTAGAACAAATAGTTCTTTTAAAACTTTACAATAATGCTATTCAAGGTAAATCTATATTAGTGGATTAGGAACTTTAAAAGTTATGTTCAATTAAACCAAAGAATGCTAAAAATCATGTACAGTTTATTAATATCACTCAGAGGAAACAGTGAGTATTTTCAATATCTTACAAATCTGATTAACTCTTGAATTATGGTATATAGAAAATCCATATACACCTTAGTGTATTGTAAGTTGTATCCTGATGTAAAATACAGGAAATTGGAGAAAAATATTCCTCCACAGCATTTCTACATTCTTAAATTTAAAAAGTGCCATAAAAAATGGTAAGCAACCTGCCAAATTTGCTCAAAATTTAGTACTGGTAGAATAAAAATTTGCCTATGATCTTTTTTAATAATACAAAAAGGAATGCAGTAAAAGGACTGGAAGTCTGGTCTTTGTGACAAGAGGCCATTTTCAAAAGATGAAAGAAGTACTGGAATTGCATCTTAAGGACTATTTTAATAAATGTTATTTCTGTCAGAAGCAGATACAAGAGCAATGGCAAAGGAGAGACAAAAAAAGGATAACCACAATCTCAGTAAGTATATGTTCATCTTCCATCTCATTGAATGGAATGTATGGAGAATGCAAAACCATTATACATTAGCTACCACATCTCTGCTCTCTTCTTGACCAGCATCTCAGCAGGCTTATCAAACTGAACTCAGACTGCAAAAACAACTGACCATAAATCTTTCTTTCTTGAAATTAATTTTGTCTCTGACTTTTGTCTTTCAAAATTCTTTGCATATTGCAATTATTTTATTTACATATAATCTCCTGCTATTATTTTTTTCACAGTAGCACACTTTACTTGATGTTTTCTCTAAGAATTACATTGCAAAGCAGACAAGAAAGGACACAGGTTATTAGGAAAACAACAGTGAAAATCCAGTCTTCACACCTTATTTACTGAAGCATCAAAGCAAAAGGCTGTGTCTCTTTATGGATGATGGGGTAGGAAAAAAATTTGCATCAGGCAACTTCTAAGTGGTTGCTAAGCTCTTAAAGTTATTGAAATTGTATGTCACCAAAGGAGATCGGTGCAGGACTTTGTGAGACTCACCACTGTTCTGACTCAGCCACACAAGCCCCATAACCCCAGTCATCTGGGATACACTTCTGCTTTCTATATGTATAACAATGCAGATACTTACAGATGTTGTTTTTAGATGTTGGTTTTAGAGGAACAGTTTTAGAACAGAAGAATTATTAGAATGCTTAGAATAATTTATTCTTTTACTTCTATCTTGTTTCTCTGGCTATTTGATTTCCAGTAATCAAAGAGGGATTTATGGCTTTACTGGCATGAAATTACATACCTGAAAGTATACATCCACTGGCACAATCTGATAGCAATCACTGTGGATAATATTCTGCTACTTAAAATTTCCAGAAGGCATCCTTATATCAGTCTGTAATTTTTCTGTGGGTTACAGGTAGATCATGAAGATTTTTAGATGTATTGCTAGCATGTAATCTCTGAAATGCCAAAGGAGCTGCTGTCTGTCTTGTTAGGGCAGAAATGGGGAGTTTTGCTGGACTAAGAAAGGGGATGGGTAGGAGTTATCTGGAGCTACAAGGGGAAAGGGACATTCCTGAACATTCTCATAACAAGGAGTAATAAAGACACCATAAAAAAGTTCATTTTGAAAGACTGTATATTGCATGAAACCATGAAAAGTGATTTTGATTTAAGAAGTGGAACCCCTTCATGCAACAGACAGAGTTTAAAACATCACTTAATGTTTCTTTGGGATTTTTTGCTTCCAAACAAAGAATGTTATATTATAATCATGTCCATGTAGTTTGAAAAATAATTTTCTGATTTGGCTTATGTATAATTTGATTCTTGAAATATTACTAATTACTCAGGATATCTTTGGAAAGGTTACAGACACACATCAGGAACATTCTATTGCAACATGTTTCCAAGCTTAAAAATCTCCCTCCTAACTCATAGACACAACTACTGGAAGTTTATTTTAATGAAAAATGCAAAAATATAAAGAAAAAGGAATTCTGCAAGTTCACTTGTAAGGATATTCTTTTCCTTGCCCTGTTTTATAGCTGATTCTTAGTTGACTACTTTTTGATGAATATCTTACAATGTTTTCCACAGTGTAAATATTGTGCCATAGGACAATATGTACAGTATAGTTAAAGCACATTCTTCAGTTTTGTTTGCCATGCCATTATTTTGCCAACACAACTGAAATATATCTTTTAAATTTTTCAGTTGCTCTGTGTTTTTGTACACTGGGCTCTCCTACAAGATCCAGCACATTCATTCCAGTCTGATGCAGGAGTTCACTAAACAGTATACTCAGGAGGATTATAACCCTGTCTTCTGAATGTGAATCATCACCAAAAAACCTGAGATGATTTAATTTGTTAAGTGAAATTCTTGTTTCTATAGAAAGCAAGACAAGATAATGCATCCCACCAAGGTAGAGTACTTCATCAGAGTAAATAATAACACTCAGGTTGTTCCTGGAGCTTGAATCTGCTAGGGAGGAGATACCTAAGCACTGCACAAACCTAGGAGCCTCACACAGACAGGAAGCAACCTTTCTACATACAGGAAGAAGAGGACTAAAAGTGACCCAGGTGGTGGGGCTTAGACTGAAAGTGACATGCTCATATGACTACAAGAAGATTGAAGTCAGCCTTGGAAGACCCACTAGATGCCCTTGGCTGAGCACTTATTACTTAGCTCCACTGGGTTTTTTGTATTTATATTCAGAATTAGGCCATTAAAATTTAAGTGCACATCTCCTAACATGGAGCATATATCCATTCTGCCCATGTTCTAGGCTGGCCAGGGCTGGTCTGACAGAGTACAGTGGCATTGGCATATTGAGCCCAAGGTAAGGTCTTCCAAGATGCAAACAAGAGAAAGAGCTCAGTGTGATGTTAGTGATGGAGAAAAGCTGAATCCTGCTTCTTTACTGAGATTTGGATTGAGTTAAAGTGGAGGCAGTGGACAAAGTGTGAGCTCATACCAGTAGAACAGCAGTAGAGACTGCTGGTCTCTGACACCCAGCAGTACCGTAATGGGACTACATTCTCACTGATTACACTTTCTGTGTCAAAATTATATACAAGTAATTCCCCAAAACAATGAGATGTTCTCTGTACCTCTCCACTAGAAAAATATGAATTTTCTGAAGGAAAAATCAGCCAGGATACCAGTACAATGCTTGTAACGTGAATTGAGAGCGCGCAGGGTATTAATTTTAAGAGATTTATTTTCTCTTTTTTCTTCTAAATAAACTACAAAGTGAACCAAGATATCCTACATAGCTTGTCATAGGAGAAGCATATATTTAAATCCAAAAAATATATTTCATAGTCTAAACCATGGTGGGTTTTTTTCATTTTCTCTATATTTTAAAAATTATCATAAATATTTTTTGTGCTGTCCATCACCAAAGGAAACAGATGTACAGGGGTGATGTGATTTTGGGACATAATCTTGCTCTGTTTCAGTGAGGGGGTAGGGTTGTAGTTGTGTATTCTCTGGGGGTTTAAATGCTGGTAATTGTAAATAAGGGATAGTGAAGCTGTTACCTTGTGATTTGTAACAGTTCTGCCAAAACATCAATTGCTGGGTGAATTGTCTTGTATCCCCGTTGGAGTCAACAACAAGACTCCACTAAGCTGAAATCTTTGTTCTGTGGGGGCATGGTGGAGAAAGAATATATGAATGTCAGGAAAAAAGTAATGTTATCTCACATTTAGACAATATGTGACTATTTCATTTTCTAGAAATCTAACTGTAAATGGGGGAAAACCCTGTAGTCAAGGTAAGATACAGATGGTACTAATGACAGAGCATGTCCTGAGAGTAAGTCAGAGACAGGTAGGACCTCATGTTGGGACTCTTTCTCCTATTTGAGAAAGATTTTTTTTCTGTATATTGACTAACATTTCTTTAACTAGTTAAAATGTTTTATGTGTAATTTCTCAAAAAATATTTCACCATAAAATAGTAAATATTTCTTTTTAACAGTTGAGAGAAGAAGAAGGTATAATATTAATTACCGAATCAAGGAGCTTGGCACACTCATCCCCAAGTCTAATGATCCGTGAGTTCAACTGTCTTTCTTATAATAATGTTTGTAGTATTAATACAGAAGAAAAGAGACAGTTTGTACACTGGCTACAGGATTGAGAAATGGGATACAAAATCTTCCATATCAGGTTACTGGCTCAGATCAGGCTGTTGAAGTAACAAACCTTTAACAGATTTTTCGTGCCTGTTGAAAAACTTATGTGAGAGCATAATAATATGAAAGCAACGTCAGGGTATTTAAGAGAAACTGCCACTTAAAGGGAAAACAAACCAACAAAAGAAAAGCCAAACAACAGAAAGTCCATCTCTCTGTCCGTGAGCACAATTGTGTGGTGTCTCTGGAGAAGGAAGTAGTGGTGCTTTCAGCTCTTGCCATGGCCCTCTAGTGGGATAACACAAAATTTATGTTGTCACTGTCTGCCCTCTGACTAAGAGAAAAAAAATCAATTTAAGAGTCAGTAGACTGAGCATTTTTTCAAAAGTGCTCAACTCAGTGCAGGGAAGGCACCAGTCCTAAAATGCAGGGATAAAAGTAATAATTGCTATAATTACTATAATAATATCATTTTATACTAATGCATATACTTACAGAAACACAAAATGCATATTGCTTGAACTATATGTGCATTCCCTTAAAGCTTATATTTGTCATCAACAGGAAAAAAGCTGTCTTGGAGAAAAGCCCATTGCAGGATTAACAATAACAATTCAGAGTGATTTTTAATGCAGAACTTTAACCTTAGATTTCTCTTGTCACTCAGGGAAGACTTAAGACAACGCACCAGCATGATTGTAACTAGCATAAAATTGATTATACAGATTTTGTCTTTATCATTTACATATAAATACAGATGTGCATGATACTTCAAAAGAAAACATCTATTGATATTTCAGCTTTTTAATCTTAGGACTGAGAAACTTTTGATTACATTAAGGATTTCTGCAACAATACAAAGCTGTGTGAGACTTACACAAGTAGAAGTTTGTCTTTATGTGAAATGAAGCTACCAGAGAGAAAGTTAACATACTTCATCCATTTTAGAGAATTCACAAACTCAGCTCCTCCTGTAGCATCCACCAAAGATTGGATAAATGGGCATGGTTTTTTATTACTAATATGATGGAATTAGGTGTTAAAGCTGAATTAAAGAGCACTTTAAGGACCTAAATAAAGTTTTGGACATGTGATCCATTGAGAGCAGAAACTGATAGAAGTGTTTTAATTTTGCTGGTGCATCTTTCAGTATTCAATACCATTTGGGCAAGTAATTGAAAAATTTCTCAGAAAAACAGTGGATGGCACTGTTGGTTTGCAGCTATAAAGCAAAAATAGAAACTGGTTAGACTGCAATTAGAGATGGGCATGGGGTACAAACTCCAGTTGCTTTTTTTGATTGCCTGTAAAGGTGTTTCACTTACATGTTTTGGTCTGGATTCAGGCTGACTTTGTGAACTTAATCAAAACATTAACACCTAGAGTAATCATTTAAGCTATTCTTAAAATGATTTATCTGGACCTGCAGTTTTGCTCCAGTAAGTGGATGATGGACTTCACCCTCAGTTTTTGGTGTTGTTGCCTGATGAAAAAGTTTCAGGTATAGATTCTGAAATCATTGCCTTATTTTGTTTTAGTTTGCAAACCCATGACTGAATTCAGCAGTGTGACCAGACCCAGAGTGGTTTATGTTTACAAAAGCAAAAGGTGAACTGAAGTATCTCACATTCTGAAGACTGCTGTCTTCAAAAGGCTGATAATCAGTACTCCTTTGGATAGCAGGCCTACTGAAAAGCTTAAGTTGGTGCTAAGAAAAAAAGGCATCAAAATGTGCAGGGCTTTTGCAAAACCAGCTTGCAACACAATTTTTCTATAGCTTAAGGCAAGGATAAATTAATTCAAAGAAGTGTAAGCACTTTTTTTGTATTTGTATTTTTTGGCAGAAATAGATTAATTTGAATGTTTTTTTGGCTGAACAGATCAAAATTATTATTACCTTTTGGTATGATCTTGTTTTGCCAACTCATAACTCAGCATCCTTATTCTCTCTTTCAGTTGTTGCTTTTTACTTCACAACACCTTACTGTGCCCCCAGTCTGCCCCCTCTTCTTTGAAAGAAAGAGATTTATCATGGTTTACAATACTTTATCTGTAACATTTTGTCACACATAACATTTTGCCTCATATTGATTTTAGAAGATTCTTCTTATACTGGAAACCTAGTTGTAAAAGGAGGAATCTTAGTGATGCTTAGACTAATGACAGTGAAGAAAATCAGTCTCTGCATTGAAGAGCAAATACTACTATAAATAAGCCATTGTGGTTAGCATGCCTGTCCCAGATGGCTTGCTTCATGTAGATTACATTCAGAATCAGAAACAGAAAAGGACATTTTTTTTGTCATTTGGAAATCTTTTGTGATTTATATTTCTTAGAAGTGCTGTGTGGGGTTTTTATTTCACTTTTGTTTTGTTGGTTATGTAGTGAACTTGTTTGGCTCCTGCAGAGCTTCTGCAGGGACTTTCTTTTGACTGGATTAAAGCCCTATTCTTTTCACTTTTTTATTTTTTCCCTAATTTAATGATGAAAAGTGTGGATTACATTACATAAATGAATGGGTATTTTAAGTTCACTTCATCAGCATTAGAAAATGAAGATAAGTGTAAGTTACAAAGAACTATGACTCTTTTGTCTAACTTTCAATGCTTAGATATCCAAGTGCTAGATGATTCAGAAATGCAAATCAGTTTTAAAGAACAAAATTCAAAAATAGAATTTAAAAATGACAGAAATACTCAGTCATATTTTGCTGGAAAACTCATAACCTGCTCCTTTAATTATACCTGCCTTTCTATTTGTGTTCAGCCTTTCAGAATCCAAATTTTAGGTGGTTAACAGGATTCCTTATTGTGATGGAGTCTGGAAATGCCTACACAAGAACAGCTCAATGGTAGTCAGACTTAAATTGCCAGAAAGTTAAATGAGAAAAAAGAATTCTAGTAATGTTACAGAACTAGAATGTTAAGAGAACTGCTGAGAACACTTCAGACTATTGGGCAGAAGCAGTGAGTTGCTCTCACTCTCTCCTTTCTGCTCTCTGCATCTACCTGTACCTGACCTCTGTGATGTCTGTGGACAGACCCTCTAGCTGCCAGCACAAGCACCTTTCTTGCATAGGAAAAGCTTGTGTATACTCATGCTGTTATAAAGTGGAAACTTGCTGCCTCTTTCAGAATAAAACACTTTGTAATTGTACAAGTCCTCAAAACAAGTACAAAGTCCTTCCAAGTACTTTGAGCATATTTCTTTAGTTTAAAGTGAATTTCTCAGAAACAGGGAAAGAAATGTTCTGCAAACACAGTTTAAACTTTGCAGATGTATTTGTTATTAGGAACTGGCCTGTGTCTGGCAAACTCTGTAACTATCACGCTGTCTCAAACACTGCTTTTATTAATTGGTGCTAATCTTAGATGACCGCATGCTCCCATCCTTCCTACAGGAGTTCAGCTTCTGTAAACTAGTGAAACTCCTTTGACTTCAGCAAAGCTAAATTAATGGAAATGAGCTGAAGATCAGTCTCTTTTCCATGTTTCATTTCTCCAATATAGAAAACTCTACTTGGTGAGAGTTACATGTTTTGTTCTGGAATTTGAGTTTTGCAGAGAGATTCGGATGATAAAGTTAAGAGGAGACAGGATTCAGAGATTAATAAAACATAATGTATTTTTTACTTTTTTTAAAATTTTCCATTAAAATCTTGTTATTTTTGGTAAGCTTCTTTTAATTAAACTCACTAGTACATCTGTGGATTGCTAGAAACTTCAAATTACTTTACCACATGGACACACAGGAACAAAGAAGCAATCCTCCTTTGCAGAGGCCATTTCTGATGACCAGACTGGCAAAACATCTTACTGCTCTCAAATGACTTGGCTTGGATGCAAAATTTCCAATGTATTTCAGTATTTACAAGATGGTGCCATGCATGCATTTAATAAAACTCATGTCTAATAAAAACAAGTGCCAAAAAAATAAAAACCAACCCAAAAAACCCCCAAAAACCAAAAAAAATCCAGACCAAAGCAAATTAATAGAACCAAAAGATCAAAATAAAGAAAAGAATTCCTGCCATATCTGAAGATCAGTAGGTCTATAGCTAAGTTTTTAGAATCAAAACAGTTAAAAATGCAAGTATTTTGTCTGTTTTCATACAGAAACTTCCAATTAAATGAGCAACAACTGCTAGTGATTCCTCAATTTTTAAAGGTTCTAAAAACGTGTTTGTAGGACTTTTCATTTCAGTTTTTGTCTCTAAGTGCAATCTACAAATCTATAAAAAATAAAACCTACAATTTCCTATAATTTATAACTTTTCAAGTATTTTTATTTTCACCCAATTTAGAATGCATTGTTTTCAGGGAAATAACAGAAACCAAATAACCGATCAGAAAATTTCTGAATTCTTCCTATGCACTTGTGCTTTGAATCAATCCATTTTCAAATGTTCAGTTGGTTTTTTTTTCCCATCAAAGATGAATCTGCTTGCCTGCCTGGTATGTAGAGCTAGATGCACTTCAGACTATTGGTATGCAGGAATCTCACCTTTACCAGCCCAAATTTGCCTTCATCCTCACCAGTTGCATTGTTGCTTTTCCAGCCCTGCACATGTGCATAGAGCCTCTGCTGTGCTGCAGCTCTGTCCTGTGACTGCTGTGTGGTGTTCTGGGCTACAATGAATGAAGAGTGCCTGTGATAAAGAATCAGCACAGACACCTTCAGGATTTTCCTTAGATCCTGGTAAAGAGGCACATGAACTGAAATTCATGTTGACTTCTAAAGTCACCAGCTGTTCCTTTGCTGTGTTACCTTCAGACACTGGAAGGTTCAACTTCAATATTCTTCATTTAATAAGACACCAACCAGTATATGTACACATGAGAAGTGGTGTAAAACCATATGTGGGGTATGCACACATGCACAGACACATACACATGTGTACATAGGTTAAAGAGCAGTCTCTTAAATAACAATAGTAACCACTGCATTTTTAGCCTATTTCCATTACAGTTTTGCCTCTCAGGTCTGTAAATATTACCACAAGAGATATCTATCCATATGTATCTCATGCAAAAGCTGACCAGGTCCATCTCTCTGGCAATTTGAATCTATTAGTCTTTCAATGAAGATTTATTTAAAACTATGAAAAAAAATTACCATAGAAATAAAAACTAAAACTATCAAGGAAACATGAACTAAAAGTAAGCCATATCACGAGATGATATTAAGTGTAACAGGAATGAATTTCATTTAAAAATATTCCAAATACTGTCATGAATATATGACTTATTCCTATGTCAATCATAAAAATAAACAAAAATATTTTTTCTGATTTTGAATTCATAAAATTTTATAACTGACATGAATTTTTTTGTGAAGACACTATGAAATATTTTCTAAATATATTCAAATTTTTCTGCTGCTGTTACATTTTCTCAATTATTTCCATTTTTCCAGCTATGGATTTATTTCTAATTTCATAGTACTGTCTTAGTTTTGTTTTTAGCATTTATTAGAGACTGACGTCCTTGTCAAGGCAGATTGTGTTCCTCCATATAGCATATATAACTCATATCTGAGATGGGAGAGGAGAATTCCTGTATCAAAAGTTCTTGTCCTGCTAACTTTATTTATTTTATTTAGCTTCTTTATTCATGAGTGGTCTGGCATAGACAGACAGACAGACACTTTGCTGCCTTTCAAACTCCACTACATTTTAGTCATAAACAGGGACCTCTCAGTATTTTACCTAACTTTCCAAAGAGCTGTGAAGAAAAGGAAACTGTGACATGGTGACGGCAGTCAAAGATTGTCCAGAAAATATGCATACTAAAAGCTTCCTTAACCTTTACAGTTTGAACATAGGTAAGCCATATGAGAGGAGAAAGTCCTCTCCTAGGAGGGATCCCATGGGATTCTGGCAAGAAATTCTGTCCTCCTACCTGTTCAAGAGGTACAGGGACAGGAAGAAGGCAGAGGAACTGCCAAGAGATGATTCAGCCATAATGGGGGAGAGGTATTCTGCTCTTGGCTCCCAGTCCCACCTCTGCTCTAGCTTTTTTAACCAGGCAATGTCTAAATCAGAATACATACCAAATTATGTTTTGGCTTTGTAGACAGCAGGGCTCTAGACAAATTTTCTTTCTGACCTCCTCCCCTTCTAATCCCAAAAGCTGTGCATTTCTGGCCTGCAGCACTGAGAGGATGGGACTCCCTGTATACAGGAGCCTCACAGTTTGTGTGGCCCAGAGATAACTGACTTGAATTTGAGCACTCTTGGATTGAAAAAAATGTTACTCCCAAATCTCTAGCAAATTACCTGAATTCTATGGCACAGTTAACACTGTGATGTTTTATCACAAATAATTTTGTGTATTCTTAGTGTCTTAAAGTTATCAGCTCCATAAGTTTTTTTCTGTAGTAAAGCATTTGGAAAATCTGGATGGTCTGGATCCCTAAATCCTGTACCTGCCTGTCTTCTGCACTATATATTCAGAAGAAAAATAACTGCAGAAATCTCTAAGGGTGCTTAGCCTCATGAGGGGAAATGGAGGGGCAAGTACCAATCTCTTCACTCTGGTGAGCAATAACAGGACTCAAGGAAATGACATGAGGCTAAGTCACTGGAGGTTTAGGTTGGATCTCAGGAAAAGGTTTTCACCCAGTGGGTAGCTGAGCACTGGAAACAGGTTCTCCAGGGAAGTGGTCATAGCACCATGCATGGCAGAGTTCAAGAAGTGTTTGGACAATGCTCTCAGGCACATGGTGTGAATCTTGAGATGTCCTGTGCAAGGCTGGGAGTTGGACTCACTAATCCTGATGGATGCCTTCCAACTCAGCATATTCTGTGATTCTAAGAATAAGGGGAAGTGATAATGTCTGGGCAAATAATTTATTTTTTTTTTCACTCCATAAATGTAAGAAAACATGTAAATATATGTCTTTGGAATAGCTAATGAAAAAATGTTTGTCTCTTCCAGCATCAGATTCTTACTTGTTTTAACAGCTTGTCTTTCTCGTGGTTGTGTTTGGGACCAGAAGCTTGGACAACGTTCTGTTCGGCCTAAACAATTTTGTAGTAAAGTAGATCGTTTGTATAAAGCCCATATATCTGTATATTTAATGCAGTGAACCCACCCTGTATCATAAAATACCAAAATTTATTAGAAATTAAACATTTTCAGCAAAATTCATTCATTCATGTTCCAAGATCTTACTTAAAATTTGATAAATGGATACATGAAACTCTTTGGACAGTTTCATTTGGACAAGTGTTTTGTTTCTAGTGAGACTGCTTATAAGCTGTAAGACAAACAATATTTCCTGAATGATGGGGAGGTTTAATCTAATTTTTTCAAAGCTTTTATTTTTAATTAGGGTCTGCATGTAGCTGTAGAGTTTAACTTGGATTTTATATTGTTTCAAGATTTTTGAACATGATTTTTGTCATTCCCTAGTCATTATGGTTATGCAAGTGTGATTTTTCTGGTCTGTCATCAGTGAGGAGTGGCATTCAGCACAGATAATTTTTCTCTCTACAAGCATAAAAGCAACCTCATTAGTAAGTCAGGTAACAGGAGTAGTATATTCAAAATGATCTTTAAAAATTTAGGCTTAAGTCCTCAGTAATGTATATTTCCTAGTTCATTAATGCAGAAATACTGCACATAGATTTTAATCTCAGAGTTAATAATAAAAGCAATTTTCACTAAAAATATAAAAACTGTAATGGTAGAATCATGATATTGCATTTAGCTCTCCCACAAAAAGTCACTTTATTACTTTCTTTTGACACTTATTTTCATTCTGGGATTAATTTTACTATATAAGGGCTTCTTAACTATTCTATTAAAATTTCCATTCAGAAGCAATAATATCTAAGAGTGAATAATAGTCATGTAAATCATTATTTCATATTAATGTAAAAGATTTTGTAAGTTCTTATGAATTCTGCTGACATGCACAATTGTGAAAAGGTTATCTCTACATTCTGCAGTGATATGCGCTGGAACAAAGGAACTATTTTAAAAGCATCGGTAGAGTACATCAAGTGGCTACAAAAAGAACAACAGAGAGCCAGAGAATTAGAACACAGGCAGAAGAAATTAGAGCATGCTAACAGAAGACTTCTGCTCCGAATTCAGGTTTGTATAAGCGTTGCCATGAACTACAAAGCTTTCTCAGTACTTATCCCCCATTAAATTTTGTTAATCTATATAATTTTTCCTCAAATTAAGATTATTAAAAATAAATTGACTTTGCCTTTTTATTTCTGTATATATTGGGGAGGAGGTATTCTTTAGATTTCTAGGAAATTTCTTTGATAATTACACCTTACATAAAGTAACTAGTGGAAAATGAATAAAGTATTTGTACAAACAATTTCATTATGCATGTATTAGAAACAAAGACAAAACAAAAAAGGAAATAAGTATATTCCTGCATCCAAAAATCAATACTGGTCACAAAGTTGCCTTTAGTATTTTAGTTTTCCCTTTCAAACTATTTAATGTATTGTGCCCCCCGGTAAGACTGTCTTATGTTATATCTGCTTTTGACACTAAGAAGTAGAATATAACCCTCCATGGATTGAAAAGCAAGATTCTAATATAGACACACACCTATGGAAATGGGATGGATAGATAGGTAGATAGAAATAAAACCAATCATCTTAAATATGTTGATTTGCTTATATGTCTGTATAATGTAAGCATTATAAAGTAAAGAATCTTTTTCTCTGGATAACAGTCTTATAATGAACTATCAAGTTGCAACATTTTTCTGCTATCGTCATTGGAATCAGTATGCAAATGGTTGTAGAGAGGCTGTCCTACTTCTTCTGTTCCTGTAGAACAGTTGCTTAATAACAGAAAGGGATATAAAACCACTTCTCCAATTTTCTTAGATAAAAAATTTAGTATTTTAAAATTTAACCTCACAACTGGGCAACAGGTATAATAAATTTTTGTGCATGATTTGTATACTTTCTGCAGTTGTTCTGAAGAGACTGTTTTTTCTTTTAAAATTGTTGCCTAATTATTTTTGTTTGAAATGTTAGGAACTGGAGATCCAGGCACGTGCACACGGCCTTCCAGTCATGTCTTCACTCAGTGCTGCTGATTTAGCTGCACAAGTCATCAAGCAACAGTCTTATCCAGAGGAGAACTCTGTAGACTACTCTCAACAAATGACTCTGGTACATGGACAAAATTCTGATGTCTGCGATGGATCTACAGCCTTTTCTGATCCACTTTCACACTTCACAGATTTGTCTTTCAGTGCAGCTTTAAAAGAAGAACAACGACTAGATGAAATTTTATTGGAGGACACAGTGTCACAATTTGGAACAGATCCACTCTTGTCCTCCACATCTCCAGCTGCATCAAAAGAGAGCAGCAGGAGAAGCAGCTTTAGCACAGATGATGGAGATGATTTATAAAAGCAGTAAGGGTCTCAAACTTCTCTAAACACTTGTTAAAAGACTGAGTTGAACGTAAGCATGGTGTTTGCTCTTATTTTAAATACCTCTAAGGAGAGACACTATAAAACTCAATTACTACATGATAAGTGTTTCAATCAGCCCTTACTTCACAGGAAATAAGATGGACATGAATCCATATCATTCTGCACCAAATTCACCCTCTGTTCATAGCCAACATTTGCATAAAACTTTCTTCACTGGGAATATTTTTGCTATCACTTGCTGACTTTTATCAGTCCTATGAAAATGGTTACCACAAAAGGAATACCTGTCTTGCAAAATTGTATTCAAACTCTTTTCAGTCTGCTCACACCTTTCTCTCCTACAAATATGAGATTTAGTCATTTGCTCATTTCTTTATTTTTCAAAACTAAAAATTCTACAAAATGTGAAACAACAGAGAACTGTTTAAGCTGGGAACTGTAGAGATGTTACAGGTTTTAAAATCTAAAAAACATCAGATGGTAATGCTTTCACACAAGCATGAATTTTAAACTGTGAGGGTTTCTCTTTAAAAGGAGAAAATCCAGTATGCTTTCCATGCAATGCCTTTAGTTTCTTTAATTTCATTTGTAATAAAAGAACACTCTTTTAAGTATCTGTTTTAATGACACAGAAGAAAAATGGAAACTAACATAATGACAGTGATTCAAATGAACTCAGACAGAAAAAGACACAGCATTGCAGCAGAAAGACTGTGTGGATATACAAGACAGCACAGACACTCCATGTTACACTTAGCACAATTTAAAACAAGCACTACTTGTGACAGTGCTATGTCAGCTACTTATTCCAAGAATATTCAAACTGTGTCCTTTTTTATATGAAAGAAATTGGAATTCGGATACAATACTGGGCTGCTGGATGACACTTAGTGTCCTTTGACAGCACAGTGAGATTTTTCCAAAGGGACTCTATCTGTACATGTGCTTTTGATCCATTTGGAAGCAGAGGAAAATGACAAGATTCCCATTGCATGCACTATAAACAACAATAATTTAATTTCATATTTGGCTTTGGACTCTCTGCAGAAAAGCTTGAAAGGAAGACTTGTCAAACTCTAGGCAATACTCAGAAACACTGATGAAATGCACTACCTCTCATAACCAGCCTGCTAGGGGGTGTGTTCAGAAAACTCACTTCTATACACAGTGAAATTTTGGAGAGTGATGTACATTCCTGAAGAACATTAAGTGCAATCATTCCAATTGTAATATTAAAACATGGGAAAATAATCTGGAACAGGTTCTTCATAGGTCTTTTTCAATCAAAGCCAAAAGATCACATTAGGGAGGAGTTATGGTTTATCCCCACGCGGCTACCAAGCCTCACGCAGCCACTTGGTCACTGCCTGGCCAGAGTGATCAGGGAGAGAATTAGAAGCGTAAAATCTGGAATGGTCCTGGGTTGAGATAAAGACAGTTTAATAGGGAAAGCAAAAGCTGTGCACACAAGTGAAGCAAAACGGGGAATTAATTCACTGTTTCCTGTGGGCAGGCAGCTGTTCAGCCATCTCTAGAATAGAGCCCCATCACATGTAATGGTGATTTGGGATGTCAAATGCCATCATTCTGAACATCCCCCCTTCCTCCTTCTTTCCCCATTTTAAGTACTGGGCATAATTTGATGTGGTGTGGAATATCCCTTGGTCAATTAGGGTCACCTGTCCTGGCTGTGTGTCCTCCCAATCTCCCACACACCCCCAACTTCCAACAGTGTGTCAGTAGGAACAGCAGAAAAGGCCTTGGCTGTGTAAACCCTGCTCAGCAGCAGCACAAACATCTCTGTCCAGCACAAATCCAAAATACAGCCCCATACTAGTCACTGTGAAGAAAATTAACTCTACCCCAGCTGAAACCACTACGGGAGTTCTGTAATGATTCAAAATATGTTTCTAAAGTGTGTATTAATTTTGCTGTCACTGAGCTTGCCTCACTCCAGAAGTGTTACAGGTTTGGAAATAGTAAGAAGAGATTAAAGTGGATTACCTTTTGCATGAACACTTTAAATTTTTAAAAACATACTATCCAAAACCAGAGCAATAGTTTCTTACTATTGCCTCTTTTGATACTGGTACCTGGGCCCCCTGACAGTCATTGTGAGGGCGTTTGTGTTCCTGCCAGGCCATAGCACATGCCCGACCGACCCTGGCAGTGTCAACAATAGTTTCATAATTGCAAAATTAGCAGCTGGATAAAAAAATCACACTCAGATGGCTGTGAAAGACAATGGTATGTCCAATTTCACAAGAATATTTATAATTTTAGGAATCTCAAGGTTTCTATGAGTTTGGGCAAACTACTTGGTTGTAAGGTGACCTGTAAGCATAGACCTGACTATTAGAAGAGGCTTTGATGCACTCACACTTCATGGATAAAAAAATCGACAAGAGACAGCATTCTGGTAATTTTCTTTTGTTTTGATTTGGTGTTTTTGTTTGTCTTTTTATCTGTTTGGGTTTTTTGGTTTAACTTTTTATTTTTTTGTTGTTGTTCTTATTGTTTGGGGTTTTTTTTGTTGTTTTTGGGGTTTTTTTGTGCTTTTTTTGTTTTGTTTTTATAGCATATGAGAAAGACAAACAATTTAATTGGATTAATTGAGGAACCACTTTGTCATAATTTTATCAAAGATAATTTCTTATATTGACTTCTGAATACAACACATGATGAATTAAAAGTAATATTTATGCCCATATTATGTTTAGCCTAGTATGAGTATTGTCCATTTCAGCAGATGAAAGGAAGGGCTATTTGGTTAATATCAAATGCCATTTGTCCTTGTACTGCAGTTTCTACTACATTAGTTTTAAATACACCAGTGTGGATTGCTCATAATGGAGAAAAAGAAATTAAATATGAATGTATTACATGATTTTCCCATTGAACTTTTACATGTGAGTTAGACCATACTTCTGAATATACTGACTTTAAATAACATCCTCAATTTCATCACTTTTATAAGCACTGTTCTAAAAAAAACATTGTAGTGCATCCATTAAATTTTTAAAAGTTGATTTTCATTCTTCTGACAATTGCTTTAGTCTAAAGCACCAGAATTTTTCTCTCTCTCCTTGCATGAGAAACTTAAAATAGTCAATGCTCTTTTTGCAAGGTACTGTATTGCATCTATCATTAAACATATTCAGGCTGTCTTCCTTCACACAAAACCCTCAGCTCCCTTGTACATCAATTCTTCTAGGTGTTTACTTTTGCAATGGTAATTCACCAAAATTGCTTTTTTTTTTTTTTTTGTAGTAGGAAGTCATCATAATTAGTATTTCAGCTAATAATTATAACCTGGATTACAGGTTCACCCTTGAAATTCAACGGTGGTACAGACTGCAAAACCAGACTAGGACATTCTGGGAATTCATAGATGCTACTGAGGTATTTTTAGGAGATGCATGTGCTGGTAGTCACATCCCAGACTTTCTGTAATAAGCACTCCCTTTTCCACCACAGTCTTGGAAATGGTGCTGTGAAGCTGAGAGAACTAGGGCAGAGCCAAGCCCAGTCCTACTAGCTTTCTCAGAGGAAAGGGATTTCATAACTACGGGGACAGATCCTGACATTTTCTGTCAAGCAGAATGTCTTTGCTGTCCATGCAAGTTTTATTGGGCTGCGTTGTGATGCAAGAAAAATATAATTTTTAGTAATTTCCAGCAGAGATCTGTTTAGTGAAATCTCATGAAAGAAATACATAATATTCCCATGGCTCTGGGACTAAAAACAATTTGAAATCTTACAGATTTTGACCTCAAGCAGGCCAGGGGGTAGAAGCACCGGCTATTTTTCTCAAGGTGTATTAAATGAGGAGTTATTGGTAGTTTTCAGTAGCATCTGTTCAAAGCTGGTGGACATATTCATACAGAATCCATGAAACAGCACACTGATAATTACAGAAAAGGAAAGGGAGTTGAAATATTAACATCCTGTTTAATTCATGACATGGATATAGATGCTATACTAAGAAAAGAAAAATAAATTATTTAATTGTGCATAGCATGGATAGTGTGAAAAGGTACGGTAAGTGCAAACAGTTTGAACAAACAGAAACACAATTGCTTTATATAATAAAATTATTAAATATAATTCAGTTGATTAATCTTAATAAGAACATTGATATTATAATGCTTTCTGAATTTAATAGAACTGTATATATGAATGGAGGATGTAAAATTATTGTAATTTAAAATTATGGTAAGTCTCTTAGATAAGTAAAGGCATTTACGTTGCTATTATGAGACTGTAGAATATTTTTATAATAATTGCTATTTTTCATTGTTAACCATATAGTATCTTGTTTTCTAAGTCATTGTATGCAGACAGAATATGCTTTCTTATGCACTATATATGCAATCTTTTTACAATTATGTTTTATACTTGCTGGCATTTTATGTTTATTGTATGAATATAATTAAAGTACTGAAATGAAAACATCTTTTTATATGTCCCTTGTGAAACTTCACTGCCCAGACCCTCAAAAATACCACCAAAAGACAATCTAGTAACATCCACTAAGAACATCTGAGATACCGAACAGACAAAATACTTCACAACAGCTAAACATTTAGTCTATTATGATACATTATGATCCAGTAGCATCCCATTAATAAAAATAATTGATACATTCTTTAATATGGTCTCCTGCCATCTGCTTATTCCTGCTGCTAAGGCTTTGATTTATGGAAAGTGTTTTCAGAATGTTGCAAAATTGCTAGCAGGCATGATGATATCAGTTAAATCACTAAGAAGCTCTACAAAAACCTTTTAATGTACTAGATGTTCCCCAGACAATCTAGGATAAACAGAAGATTGTATTTTAAGATGTAAAACATTTTTTAAAGCTGATAATTGGGTAGCATTTGGCACTAAAAGATACTCACTTAAGGAAGTTAGTAAAGATTCAGATTTAATTTTGAATTCTTAATATCAAAAGTGCTACCTTCTTTAGAAGATATTTGGTGCTTTCAGCACATGAAATGATGTGAAAGTTGTTCAGTAGTAATACAAATTTCAACTAGTTTTGTAATAGTTTATCATTTAATATAAAATAGTGCTCATTGTTTGCATACATCAGATTTTATTTGTACTAAAGATTTCTTCAGTCTCTTTATTTTGTCGAATCATTAAGACACCCCTATCAGTATTAAAATTGAATATTATTATAAATATTATTTAAAGTTCAGTGATTATCTATGGAAAGAAGCTTTGCTTTTTTACATATTTATTATGTACTTAGGATTTGACCATAAAAGGTACTCAGCTCCTTTGTGAAGGGACTGAAAGCCCCCACTTTTCTTTGTAGAAAGCCAATGCTTATCCTGTTTAGGACTCAGACTCTTTAATGATTAAATAAACAACATCAGAAAATGAAATCAGAAGTTATTTCAGAGATTATAAAAGCCCTATGTTATACACTGCTTGATTAAAAGTAGTAAAATTTGCAACTGACAGATAAACAGATTTAATGTCAGCATCGTTTGTGGTGACAGCCAATGGGAGATTAGAGGAAAATCTATGAAGTTGTGATAATAATCAGATCAAAAGTCTAATTATAAAGGAGACTGCAGCTGTGAAGTATGCCAAGGCTTATTGGTTAAATCACTGGTACCCATCAAGTTAAATATATACCCGTTTCATTAATTGGCAACCACAAGACAAGTGCTCTATATTCAGGGTGGTGATGATTTTGATATAATCCACCACATTGTGGTTAAGTATATGATTCATGTAATAAGAAGAAGGTGCCTCCAGGCTATTGTTCCTACCATGGATTAAAATTTACATATTGCTTCTCCTTATGTCAAAACATCTGGTGCCTGCAAATGCTAACATTTCGCTGAAAAGTTTCACAAGATAGGAAAAGTGGATTGGAAACATTGCATGTGAATCATTCAAGCATTATAATGGAATAAGAAGCTGAGTTATGAACAGGCGGATTAAACAATAGTATAGTCAAAGAGATTCATATGCTTATGAGTTCAAGACAACACTTTGTATAAGAAGGGGAAATGCCTCAAATCAGAGAAATAACCAGTGAGTTTTTTTCAAATGTCACTGAGATATAAAATCTCGGTCTCTCCAAACTGCATTTTCCTGCCCAAATAAGCTCCCTGTATCTAAGCATATGTACTAAAGTGCTAAGATTGTGTTTCATACATTCATTTAATTCATGCACTTTAAGATGTTGACATCCTTACCTGCCTTGAAGTTTCCTCAGAAAATTTCGTGACTCTTATATTTATTTTCCTATTTTACAGCAGCATATATCAGGGATGAATCTCAAAAGATTTCACTGGCAAATTATCTTAATTATCTTGCCTCCTTGGAAAACCTACCAGTCCTTGCATTAGCACCTAGACCTAGACTTGAGACCTTTTCCTTTTGATTTCCAGGAGGGACTAAGATGTTAATTTTCAGTTAATGAAATTTTGTTGGTGGTGTTTTTTTTAGTTGTTTGTTTGTTTGTTTGTGATTTTTTGGGTTTTTTTGGGGTTTTTTTTATGCTAGGTTGTCAAGTTACTGTTGGAAAATTTCTTCTGCTTGAAAGGAGGCAATAAACAGTGTTTTCTGTGAAGGGACTCAATTCAAGTGATATCATATCTATTAATTTTAGATATATCTATTAATTTTATGGAATCAATGCATAATTATTCCTAGATGGATGTTTTGCTTGCAAAAGAAGAACCATTCAAAAAATAGTGGCTCTTCAAAGTGCTTTTGAATTTTTAAAACATACTCCTTGGATTAGAAACTTACTTTCAGGCTTCTGGAATTCTAGAATGTAACATTTATGTGCCCTGAGTCACCACACAATGATCCTCTGGGGTGTCTCAGGGCCACGTGTTTGTGAAACAGAGGCAGCAGGGACAGCATTTTGTCCATTCTGCAACCAGTCTCGCTGCCAGAAGATTCAAATGAAACAAGCCTCTGGTGGTGAGCCCCATGGTCCTATCTCTCCAGGGAAGGACACCTCTTCAGTCTCACTTTCCATCTGTATTTCTTCTTCAGATGGCTGGTCACAGGGCTCCTAGTCATCCAGCCTCAAATCCAGACCTGGGTCACTTTCCAATCTTGCTGACATCCCACAAGTTCAAAATACTGACATTACACAATCTGGTAGTCGCCCATGATACAAGCCAGATTTGGCAACATGCTTGAGCTCTTCTGCAGACCTCCCTGACTTCTGAGCCCAAGGAGATTTGAACAAGAGGGCAGCCAAAATCTCAGACCAAGAGCACTCCCTCCTACAAACCCGCTGAGAATGTTAATTTTGCTAATGGTGGGTAACAGGAGTTTTGATTGGTTTTTATTTTTAAGCATTTTACCAAAAAATATGCTTGTACATTGTATTTACTTCTAACGAACCTGTCTTCAGTTCATAAAGATTTAAAACTGTTTAAATTTAATACTCAGAATTTGACAAAAATGTGTTAGGTAAACTATTTTGCATACTATTCCAGGAGTAGGTTGAGTTAAAGAAAATGTTTATTTTTAAAACATAATGTGACAACCTTAGCAGTTCTTAACAATATATCTTTTTATCAATTAGTTTTTCTGTGACATGGGCACCTCATGCCATCATTCCATCATTAGGGAAAGGAACCTCAAAAAAAAAAAAAGGTATTTCTACAGAGCCACTTGGAAAAGAAATGCAATAACAAAACTAATTGCAGAAATACCATTCCATCATTTCCTCTGGAAAATAGTTTCTACTGTAGAACAGTTAATATACAGACCTAACTTGCTATAAAAACAAACTGACAAAAAGCAATTTAGTCTTACTGCAAAGTAAAGTAAGCATGGTCAATTTTAAGCATGGACCAGAGAACTGGCTCCTGCAATAAGCACCCAAGGGGCAGCGTCTCCACTTGGAAATTTACACTCCAAATTACATTAAATTTGCATTGCTCTTTTGCAGTGGGCAGAGAATCCTTTGGGCAAGTAAAAGCAAAACATGAGAAAACTAAAGTTAAGGAGCATGGAAAAGAAAAGAAGGTTCATTCTTGATCCCAAAATGTCACAAATGGGACTTCACTGTTCTTCTTCCCTAAGGAAGAGTGGTGGAAGAGTGAGAAGCATCAACTCCTCCAGCTTCTCAGGGAGTAGCTGCAGCTCCAGGTGAACCTGCCAGACCAGTCAGTGGTTTGACATGTTGGTACTCTGAAAGAATGTGAATACATTACTGGTGACAAGTATTTATGTGATTATTTCAAAAGGCCAGATTGGGTTTTTATATATCTTGATCTTAAAAGTTACCAAGCATGGGAATAAAATAAACATATTTGCCCTTTAAGCCTTGTTGCTTCCATCAAACCCCTGAAATCCCAAACTGGGTGGTTGTTGGCTTCAGGCACTCTTATTGTTGCTAGGAGATGCACATGGCCAGTTGATAACCTTGCTCGTGGGACTAGATTTTGCATCAAGAGCATGTTGGCTTAACTGACTATTTCCTTCTAAATAAGGGTTCATGCTTGCACTTTCAAGATTATTTTTTTGATATTTAAGAAAAATATGGTTATTACTGCAACCATCAGCCTCATGTCCTGTTTTGAACAGTGAAGTAATGCAGAGAATTAAGTAAATTGCACACTAAAATATTTGCAAAAATGTGCTTATTTGGACTTTCCCCTTCAAAGCTCATTTCCTGAAGTAGATGTCTGAAGTTTGAATGCAGGCTATGAATTATTTCATTTTGGAGAAGTAAGTTCTTCAGCAAACTGAGAGCAAGTGATTCGGGACTATTCATAGATGTTTCAGTGAGATGGTAGCTTTTAAATTTTCCTTATTTCTTTGTTTAACTGTATTGTACAAAGTGTTTTTGCTAGATGCCAGTAGCAGCCAAATTATTTAAAAGTAGAAACAGAGACAGTGATGTAATTTACAGCTAAATCAGCCCTGTAATATATGGAAAAATATGGACACAGATTTTGTGTACAGAAATAATTAAGGTCCTGAGTGTACCCCTCAAATTCAATCTGCTGGTATGTGGAGCTAAGATGCTACTCAGAGAGCAGCATGAGGAACTGATCTTATAAAAAGCATTGTAGTAGTATCACACTTTCCAAGACTTGTTTCTTTCCCCCTTTATGAAGTAACTTCATAAAGTAACATTACTTTTGTATTCCATTATTAGAGCACATCTGCTATCAAGAAGGCTGTGGAAGCCCTGCTCCTATTTAGTGCAAGGCCCTGCATTATCTCCTTGTCTATAAAATGCAGGGATACTTAGATCCATATTATAAATAATAATACATGTATGCAATGGATGATTCTAATGATGTAGTTCAGTTTCAGGTTTTTACTGCTATTCATAAACTGCTTCAGCAGACTTGTTGTAATTTATGATATCAATAGAGCCCCTTAAATTACATCCTAGATTCTGCCATGTATTGCCCTATGAAAGAAAATGGCTTTGTATCCGATATCAGTGT